CGAACTCGGTACCGTTCGCCTCAAAAAAATATCAAGTGAATTAAAAACATCATCTCATTGTACAAGCAAGTGGTTATCAGGACTCAGTAGATAAGTGGATAAATCGATGATGTTTAAAGCAAATGTTACTAGGTTCGAGTCTCGGAATCAACATCAACACTGTGATGCAGGTACATCCAGTTGATGAGATCTAAATATGACGAAATGCACGTCTTGGATTCCACTTTTATCTGTTATCCATCTTTGATTATAATTGTTACACTTCATTGTTCTAATAAAGCTTCTGTTTAAATTTGTGAAGGAAAATATTTTGTTTTAAAATTTGAAATTCATGATCTCAATCAAAAACTTGACAATCTCCACAACCCCTATACTGATAATTACCATGTGCTCGATAATGACTAGCTTCATAAGAAAATTTTCGGAGTTCTGGTGAGAAGTTGTGACTAGTGGAGCTAATCCATGTCAGGTAGAAACAGGTATCTACCTCAGTACAATGGAAGATAGTCGCGCAACTTCGTGGATTGGTTGAGGTTAGACATTAACACCACTGAGTTCCGGCCAGCTCAGTGGTCCAGTAGGTTAAGCGTTCGGGAGCGAGACTGAAAACCCTGCGTTCGCATCCTGCGAGCTGGATCGTGGATACGCACTGCTGAGGAGTACCACAATAGGACGAGTTTGCCATCCAGTGCTTCCAGGTTTTCAATGGTGGTCTAACATCAATCGGTTCATGATCTCAATATACATTTAAATTGTTTTGAAACTATTTTGATTGATTCTTTAAAATTATGTAGGTCAACTATAGAATATTAAGATGATTAAATTACAATTGTGTAAAGTATATACATAGTATACGAGAACATTAGTGGGAATAATCGAATGTCATTGAACACATTGATTACAGAACATCTGAGAAGCATATAGTAAGCAGTTCATTTGTAAAATGTCAATCAATCGTCTGATACTTCATTGTTCATTTATTTCCACATCAATCATTCACAGTTTATCGAACTACTTAACCATTTGCTGCCAGGTATTTCACTTTCAACTGATGTTACATTCTACTGATATTTACTGACATTAGTAGTATACATCACACTATAAATGTAACATTCCGAAATCTTCTTCTTTTAAACTATAGATTTTGACTGATATTAACACATGATTGTGTTACACCATTGAAGAATTATATTACTTTAGATATCACACAAATACTTTAATCCTATTCAAATGTGCATAAAAAGGAGGTATTTAATGAAGGAAACTATAGTATAGAAGGATTTAATTTGTCTTCCTTTTTTTCCCTTAATGATAATTGTTTATCAAGTTTTTTAAAAGTAGAAACCCTTACTATTGAGATTAGATGGTGATTGGAGGTAGTCGACACTCGTCAGCAAGGTGTACTTGTAATCTTGAGGGAGCTGTTGCTTTCTGACGAATTCGATCCAGTATCACAATAGTTTCCGTAGTGTCAAGTCACCTAAACTGGTGGACGCATTGCAATATGGTCGATATCATTCAATCTGTAGTAATAAGGATTTGACACACACAACATTGATCACCACCCAATGATCAATCAATTGTGAAATTCTTACTCTAAATAACTTTGTTTTAATATGGGTTTGAACTTTCTGTGTTCTTGTTATTATTATTATTATTCAGGATGAAAAACAAAATTAATCAGTTTATGTCAATAATCTGAATCTCATGAACACAGTATCCTGATATTGTCTTACATCTATACATGGTAACTACAACGGATTAGATTCCCTCTACCGTTTTACTTACGTAAGTTAAACCTATTATATATACATGGGTTGTGTACTACTAGCATCGATAGATATAAGTAGTATTTATCATCAATCGAAAGTGAAATACCTTGAGGTAGAAAGATAAAAAAAAAATTGAAGGAAAAAGAACAAGAAGAAAGAATGTTTAGTGTGGTAATGTAAGAACAATCAAGTCTGAAATGATTGATTGATATTTTGTAAATGAACTATTTACTGTATGATTCTCAGATTTTACCAAGATATTATGTCTTTTTATAGTGGAATACATTCGATGGTCCCCAATTAGGTACTTGTTCACTATGAATACATACTATGAATAACAAGTAAATGAAAAAATAATGTTTTTTTTTGTAAAAAAATCGACATGTTTATTAAAGATTGAATTGCTTGAATAGAAATTCTCTACCAAAATGCTACTGTGGTGTGTGCTACTTATACGTAGGCATAAGTAGTATATGACGTGAGTTGTGAACAGAATATCTAGTAGCAGAGAGACATGAAGATCGAACAGTAAAGAATGAAGACAGCATGCAATTTGTATGAAAATGCAAGAACAAAGAAAGTTTGAGTCATTTTGAGACAATTGATGGATATTTTGCAAATTGACCATTTACTTTATGATTGTCCCCGGCCGTGTTCTATTCGGTACACCACAACTAATGAAAAGATCCAATGATGTAATGATATAGACGGGCATTTTAGTGAATATGTACAGTCAAGAAGAGGTTTTGTGTATATTCTGGTAATTTAATAGTTGAATTCATGAGTCGATTAAGCTAGAACACTATAGAAACCTAAAAATACTGGACGACCATTTCGTCCTAGTATAGGAATCCTCAAAGATCTCACACGCTGGATTCGAACCCAAAGCTCTTGACCTCTCACGCGGACGCTTAACCTCTAGGCCAATGAACCAGCATCCGACAGTGTTAATGTCTAATTTCAATCAATCCACGAAACCGCAGCACTATCCATGATTATCTACAGTGATTTACTATCTCATAACAGGCCCGGTTGAACTCCACTGGTCATGTCTTCTGACTAGAACTCCAGGAAATACCTCTTAGATGAGCACTGCTGAGAAATCTCATATTAGGACGAAACAGTCATCCAGTGCTTCCAGGTTTTCAATGGTGGTTTAGCTTTAATTGAATCATGATTTCAACTATTGGAATTACTAAAATCTCCACAAAACCTCTTCTGATAAAAGTTTTCTGTTATTTTTGAAAAAAATCTAACATGATTATGCTCGGGAGTATTGATTACTGGTCCCACCGGAAAGACGTAAATGCTTTTTATTTTTAATGATTTTTGGGTTGAAGTCATACCAGCTGAAGCGTTGAAGTCAGACATCGAAGTAACTACAAGCATGCTTCATCTTCTATTCAAGAAGATTTGGGAGGAGGAACAAGTGCCGATGGATTGGAAAGAAGGACACCTCATCAAGATTCCAAAGAAAGGAGATCTGAGCAAGTGTGAAAACTACAGAGGCATTATACTACTGTCAATACCGGGTAAAGTCTTCAACAGAGTGTTACTGAACAGGATGAAAGACGCAGTTGACGCTCAACTTCGAGATCAACAAGCTGGATTCCGTAAGGACCGGTCGTGCACAGACCAGATTGCGACACTACGGATCATCGTCGAACAATCAATTGAGTGGAACTCGTCACTCTACATCAACTTCATTGATTATGAGAAGGGATTTGACAGTGTAGATAGAAGAACGTTATCGAAACTTCTTCGACACTACGGAGTTCCTGAGAAGATTGTCAACATTATCCGGAACTCATACGATGGACTACAGTGCAAAGTAGTGCATGGAGGACAGTTGACAGACGCATTCCAAGTAAGGACCGGAGTCAGACAAGGCTGTCTACTCTCTCCCTTCCTCTTTCTTCTGGTGGTCGACTGGATTATGAAGACCTCGACATCTGAGGGAAACTACGACATACGATGGACAGCTCAGAACCAATTAGACGACTTGGACTTCGCAGATGACCTAGCCCTCCTATCACATACACACGAACAAATGCAGATAAAGACAGCCAGCATAGCAGCAGTCTCTGCATCAGTAGGCCTCAACATACACAAAGGGAAAACCAAGGTCCTCAAATACAACACGGAGAACAGCAGTCCAATCACTCTTGATGGCGAAACTCTGGAAGACGTGGAATCCTTCACATACCTGGGAAGCATCGTCGATAAACAAGGAGGTTCAGATGCAGACGTCAAGGCGAGGATTGGCAAAGCTAGAGCGGCATTCCTTCAACTGAAGAACATATGGAACTCAAAACAACTTTCAACCAATATCAAAGTCACAATCTTCAATACCAACGTCAAGGCAGTTCTACTTTACGGAGCTGAAACTTGGAGAACTACATCAACCACCATCAAGAAGGTACAGGTATTTATTAATAGCTGTCTACGCATGATACTCAACATCCATTGGCCGGATACCATCAGCAACAGCCTTTTGTGGGAGAGAACCAACCAGCTTCCAGCTGAAGAGGAAATTAGGAAAAGACGATGGAAATGGATAGGACATACATTGAGGAAATCATCAAACTGCATTACGAGACAAGCACTAACTTGGAATCCTGAAGGGAAGCGGAAAAGAGGAAGGCCAAAGAACACATTACGTCGGGAAATAGAAGCGGATATGAAAAAGATGAATAAGAACTGGAAAGAGCTTGAAAGGATTGCTTGGGACAGGGTTGGATGGAGAATGCTGGTGAGCGGCCTATGCTCCTTCACGAGGAGTAAGAGGCGTAAGTAAGTAGTAAGTAAGTTGGGTTGAAGTCAATCCACGATAAAAAAACATCATTGCAGTTACCAGTACAGAATTGTGGAGATTCTTAAGTTTTTGATTGAGATTATGAACCGGTTGATAATAGACCACCACTGAACAACTGGAAGCATTGGACGGTCGTTTCGTCCTATTGTGGGACTCCTCCAAGGAATAGATATTAAATGTGCACTTCTGAGCAGTCCTACAATATTACATTCATCTTAAAACCAATATTTTTTTTAGAATGAAAAGTATAGTTCATGTTGTATGCTATTTATATCTGTCGATATAAGTAGTATGTAACATCAATTAGAAGTGTAAAGGATTGCTTGGGACAGGATTAGATGAAGAGTATTAGTGGGCGGCCTATACTCCTCCACAAGGAGTAACAGACTTAGATATCCTATCTTAATACTTACCTTCTGAAAGAATTGAATAATTATTTTGTAAGTTATATTGAAGATTCATTGATGATTTCATCACATACTTCTTGAATACTTCATTGAGTGTCTTTAACTAAAATCAAAGTAAAACAAAATAATAAATTAAGGTAATAACAATCGGTATCATCTTCTATGGAACACATTACATTATAATTGACCTTTGTTTCAATGTTCTTAGATTACATTCAGTGGGCATATCTTGAGAGTTCCAGATGGTAATAAACAAGTGTATCGTTCAAGTTTGAAACTTCACAGAATTGCTTGATAATTACCTACTTGAAGAATTTGATCTCAGAGTTACAAGATGTTCCAGGCTTTTATTGACTTCTTAATTACAAATTGAACAAATATTTCTAAACTACATTATCTATGTTGTCACTTCTACCCCATAGACACGAGCAAATGCAGCTGAAGATAACTAGTGTTGCAGTAGCCTCTACGTCATTAGGCCTCAGTATACATAAAAGAAAAATCAAGATCCTCAAATACAACACGGAGAACACCAACTCAATCACAGTTGATAGCGAAACTCTGGAAGATGTGGAATATTTCACATACTTGGGAAGCATCATGGATGAACAAGGCAAAACAAGGGTCACATTCCTACAGTTGAAGGAAATATAGAACTAAAAACAAGTGTCAGCCAACATCAAAGTCACAACCTTCAATACCAACGTCAAGGCAGTTCTACTGTACGGAGCTGAAACCTGGAGAACTAAAACAACCACCATCAAGAAGGTACAAGTATTTATTAATAGCTGTCTACACAAAATACTCAACATCCAACATTGGTCGGATACCATGAGCAATAGCCTTTTGTGGGAGAGAACAAACCAACTTCCAGTTGAGGAGGAAATTAAGAAAAGACGTTTGAATTGGACAGAGCACACATTATGGAAATCATCAAACTGCATCACGAGACAAGCCCTAACTTGGAATCCTGAAGGGAAATACAAAAATTAAATATGTCATCATTGATCATAACTTTACTGTTATAGATGTCTGGTAAAATACAGTAAAAGATGTTTCAGTAAATGATCTATGTATTTGAAAGCTGTATAATTGATAATGTGAGAGTTTGAATTTTCTTCTAACCAGACATTTAACATGTATTTAGGTATCTGCTCTTGAAAACTTGTAGTGTCGGTTACTATGTTAAGCTCGCATAACTTATTCTAGCTTCTCGACAAACCAATTTATCAATTCTTCTCAAGCTACATCTTGATCTTGTTAATTATTCTCTTATCAACCTTGATTGTTTTTATATGAGCGTATGTATGTCACAATTGATTGATCACTGAGTGGTGATCAATTTCATGTGCATTGATTCCTTCTTAGTGAAGATCAAATGCTATCGACCAAGTTGCAATGTGGTCAATAGTCTAGGTGACTCGACATTGTGTGCACTATGTTGTGAGCACCAGTTCTCTCAAGATTACAGGTACACCTTACTGATGAGTGCCAAGTAGCACGAAACGCGAGTCCACGGTTTCCTTCTGACTACCTTCAACTACCAGCGTATGTATGTGCACATCTTATCGTACTCATCACATATCTGTGGTTTATTTCTATCTGACTATAAATACTGATTAGGGCTTGGTTAAACCGAGTTGGATCATAAGTCTTCTCCACTGAACGTCATTTCACTTGACTCTCTTTTCACTTCGCTTTGTATCTTCAACCATTTGTCCGCATCAGCGATTATATGAAATACACGTATTCGTAATTCATTCTTGTCTTCTACTTATTTTATTCCATTATACACTAACACGATCTAATTGGAGTCAGATCACGGGCCATTAAAATCTATTTTAGTAACCACATGTTTGGTCTTCACAAGTTATAAATATCCAATATAATATCCAGTACTTACATTAAGGTTAAGCAGTCACTTGTGAGTAAATGATTCAAGTTACTATATTTGCTAAGTGATCATCTATTAATTTAATCATTAATACCTTTTATATCTCTGTCAACCAATACCAAAGTCAGAACTTTCAATACAAATGTCAAAACAGTTCTACTTCATGTAGAGGAAATTTGGAGATACAAGTGTTTGTTAACGATTGTTTACGCTAAATATCTCGCATCCGTTTACTCAGAGACTATCAGCAACAACCTATTACTGTGGGAGAGAACAAAACCGATTCCAGCGGACGAAGAATCGCTGGAAGTGGATAGGACACATATTGAGGAAAGCATCGAACTGCGTCATCACAACGTAATCCCTGATCACTTGGAATTCTCAAGGCCAGTGGAGGAGAAGAGGAAGACCAGCGAACAAATTACTTTGAGAAATAGAGATAGATATGAGAAGAATGAACATACATTGGACAGAAATAGAATGGAAGGTCGAGGACAGAGAGTGTGTTGTTGAATGCTGGTCGGTGGCCTATGATCCATTGAGAGTAACAGGCGTATGTAATTAAGTAAGTCTTATATCTGGTTCATAATATTTCTATTCTCTTGACTATATTAAGCCAGAAACATTAATGTATGCATGTATATACTATAAATATATAAGCTTTATATGTATATATATAGATGGACAAGACTCTAATTTATGGACGGACCAATCAGATCTACAATAACAGGTTTTGAATTTTAGCGAGAATTTAATTCACTCATTTGATTCAATAGACTTTTAGCATTATAGATGATATCAGTTCGTGATGAAAGCCTTAAATCTAATTCATTAGCCTAATTATCAACTGTAAATATTAATTGTAACTCCTTGCATTCAGCCATTTAGTCGTAGTATTGTGGTGTATGCTACTTATATTAACATTAGTAGTATATGATGTTAGTCGTGAACACAATGTCTAGTAGCAGAGAGACAAGAAAATTGAACAGTGAAGAATGAAAACAGAATGCAGTTTGTATGAAAATACAAGAACAAAGGAATTCTCAGTGATTTTGAGACAATTCATGGACATTTTGCAAATTGACCATTTACTTATATGATTGTTAGATTTGTTGCCAAGTACATTTGTTTGTTCCCCACTTGTGTTCCGTTCACTACAGCATGTATATAGACATGTTCAAGGTCTTTTAAGCTGCTCTCAATGGTCGTCCATAAATTATCGATCTCATCATGTACAAATGCCCCCAAATGCCCTGGTACGGCTGAGAGTGGGGAGAGTCTGCTCTCCCTCTCGAAATGCTTTCACATGGCCATGCGTATATAGCCTCTGCCAGGGAAGTCCTACTCACTGCCTTCTCGTGGCGGGGGTGTTGTTTACAAAAATGAGAGGACGAAAAGCGAATGTCTGGCGCTTTAACCGGACCCCAAACCAATGATGCACATGGGCTACAGTATCCTGCGGGAACAAATGGCGTATGAACCAACTTTTGGTCACCGGCTACCATGGGACTGCATCTCCTCACGATGCTCCACTGCCTTGTGGGTCAGACGTTCAGGTCAAAGGCTCGGGGTGTGGCCCTCTAAGAAAACCACCTGCTTCGGTTTGGGCACCCGGGCAGTATCACAGCCCTCACACAAATCAATTGAGATTTGTGTGGCACATATGTATTTGGTGCCTCCCTGTACCTATACTTATGTGTTAAAATATTAAAATAATAATAATAATAATAATCATGTACAAAATACCTAGTTTTTATAGTTATGATATTACTTACCTTAACAATAAACATTTCTAATAATTTTCTATCATTGTCCATAAATTTCGTAACAATGAACTACATATTATGTAATAATATGAAGAAAAAAAAAACAAAAGATGTCTAATAAGTAATTCCATTATGCAACTATCAATATCAGGAAGAAGCGCTGGAAGTGGATAGGACACACATTGAGGAAAGCATCGAACTGCTTCATCACAGTGTAAACCCTCACATGGAATCTTCAAAGTCAAAGGAGGAGGAGAGGAAGACCAAAGAACACATTACGCAGGGAAATGGAGATAAACATGATAAAAATAAACAAGAATTGGTTAGAACTAGAAAAGAAGGACTAGGACAGAGTGGGTTGGAGAATGCTGGTCGGTGGCCTATGCTCCATTGGGAGTAACAGGCGTAAGTAAGTAAGTAAGTAACTATCAAGAAATAAGATAGGTAATTTTTATAAAATGATGAGTTTTGATTAAAGCTAGATCATAATGGAAAACCTGGAAGTACTAGATAATCGCTTTATTGTAGTAGTGGGACATTTTAGCAATGTGCATCTAAGATCTCGCTTACGAGATTCGAACCCATACTAGAATGAAATAGCAGTTCAGTGCTTCCAGGTTTTAAATGGTGGTTTAGCTTTAATCTAGATTTAATCGAATTTAAAGTGGTGTTTCTTTTTAGATTTCTTCAATGATATTGTATATACTCCTGTTACAATTCATGAAGGAATATAAGTCACTCATCGGAATTCTCCATCCAACTCTGTCCCAAGCAATTCTTTCCAGTTGTTTCCAGTTGGTATTTATCCTTTTCATGTCTGCTTTCGATTCACAAAGAAGTTTGTTCATTGATCTTCCTCTTTTCCGTTACCTTTCAGGATTTCACGTTAGTTCTTGCTTCATGATGCAGTTTGATGATTTCCATAAAGTATGTCCTATCCACTTCCAACGTCTCTTCCTAATCTCCTCTTTAGCCAATGATACTCTATTACAATGTAAATGTATAGTTTCTATCTAATTTTATCACTCAGAACTTATATTACGGTAGCATCTTTAATATCAGTTTAGAAGAATCATACTATTTAATAATATCACTATAGGGTTGTGTAGATTGTTCATTTTAGATTGATATCATGAATAGATGAATTTTGCACTACCATTTAAAATCTGAAAGCACTGGATACCCATCTTGTCTTAGTATGGGACTCCTCAGCAGTGCTCACACACGATCTCACACGCAGCATTCGAACCTAAGGCTTTTGGTCTTGCATGCGAATGCTTATTCTCTAGACTAGTGAGGTGTTAATGTCTACTTTCAACCAATCCACGATATTACGTGACTATCCCTCATTGTCTTCAATGAGTAACTACCTTCACAATAGACATAGTTGAACTCTACTAATTACAGCTTCTCACTAGAACTTCAGGAAAATCTTTAAAGCAGAACAATCAATGAACGTTTTGAGCAGACTATTTAGAACAGAATTTATATAACAATACATATACTACTTAAAAAAAACATTCTCCTTCTTTTAATGTTATGAATTACGTAAGAATTATAAATTATTGATGCATTAACGATGACTTAAAAAAGAGATATCAGACAAAGAAGAGAAGTTCATTGATAAACTGTTACATCAACAATATTTAGATTGTCTACAATGTTATATTCTTTGAAATAAAATGACATAAACATGTTTGTTATAGTTAGTTATCATCTTTCGTAATGAGGTTGTTACGTAAAGATGGTTAGTGATTAGCAATGGAATCTAGGATGCATGTTTCGTCCTATTTGAGATTCTTCAGTTGGATGTACCTGTATCTCAGAGTTGATGTTCACTTCGAGACTTGAACCTAGTAACATTTATCCTGTTAGCTACTAAATCCTGATAGCTACTAGCTTGTACAATGTGATAAAGTTTAAATCAGTTACATCCAGATGATGAGTTACAAATAGGATAAAACGCGTGTCAAGCTGAACTACTATCCATCTTTGCTTAGAATGCTTCTAAATTAAGTCAATATCGAGGCAGCTCGCACAAGATGCACATATACCAATGAGAGACTGAGCAACTGCAGTCTTAAACATCAATGGGAAGATTCAAGCAAATAATATCAAATAAGTTGCTTAGAAGGACAATGAAAGGGGACCTGTTATGAATGGACCCCATGGGGCTATGAAAAAACAATGGTCTTGTTTACTTCTTAGAATACAATAATTCAAAAATACTTAACATTGGAATATAACGAGACTGAGCGAAAGTGAGAGAGAGAGAGAGAGGGAGAGGAAGGGAGAGAGAACAGTAAAACCTAGGTCAGATGAAAATAAACTAAATCAAAGATATTTAGGATCCTAGAGAACTTTTAAGACTAGCCAATATAATGGTTTTCATTTGGCAAATGAACAGATCAATTAAAAGATATTTTATATTTTGGATAAAAAATGTCAATCAGTCAGTAACAACATAGAACTTTGTACGTACATACATCAGTCCAAGTTGCTACTCTTCCATATTTCGATAATCCTTGAATCCAAGATATTGAGGTTTCATAGCAAATCAAATAAGATGATCATTGTCATTGTGAACAGTGTTACCAGTGAGCATGTCAAAGAGAAATAAGCTATTAACACTTTTATACAATTAATAGTAGCTTGTTCTATTGATTTAGAACATGGTTGGTTGTTATTCATAACTGTAAGGTTCATCTGAACTCTGACCTTGGAATAATCAGTCATTTTTCGTATTGTACTATAGGTTGGTTTGATTTTGATGTTTATATTGATTGGTGCTTGATTAGAGACTCAGATTTCTGGAAATTCTTTGAATTCCTTTACATTTCTCTGTTCAACTAAACAAATCAGCTCAGAGTTCATAAAACCAATATTTGTTGAAATCACAAACCGATCTAAGTGACAGGGTTGTGGATGAGCACTGCTGTCGAGTTTCATATTAAGACAAAATCATTGTCCAGTACTTCTATGTTTTTAATAATTGTCTAACAATCACTACAACCTTCATAATGGTAATTGTGTTTTCATTTGTCCGACTGTGGAAATGTTTTACATACAGATATCTACCTCAGTACAAAAGGAAGACGATCGCTCCATTTCGTGGATAGGTTGAGATTCGACATTAACATTTCTGGATGACGACTCAGCCGTCTAAAGGTGAAGCGTTTTCGCTTTACACTGAAGGCCTTGGGTTCGAGTCCCGCTAGCGGGATCATGGATGTGCACTGCTGAGATGTCCCACAATACGACGAAATGACCGTCCAGTGCTTCCAAGTTTTCAATGGTGGTTCTAACATCATTCGGTTCATGATCTCAATCAAAAAAATTAATGAATTTCTTATAAGATTTAGCTTTATACTTTGGTAATCAGTATATGAATCAGTTCAGTGATAAGATATGCAATTTCATTTCATTTTAAGACATTCAAATAAAAACAAAACATTAACTTACCGATATTAGAATCCCATTCATTGAACTGCCATTTTCATATATTATGCAAATAACCACTGTAAATTATGAAAATACAATAATATGCTTCATAGTGTAATGATATTCCATATCAAGCCAATATGTTAAATAGTCAATAAATAGAGGTTCAAGTAGTTTGCAGACTTTTTTTTATTAATATAAAGTGTTCACTGTTTTGCTTACATCTGCTGGGATCACCAGTTAAGTAATAATGAGGTTAGATGCAAGGTATTAGGGAATGATGGTAAATCAGTTGATGAGGTTATGAACACCGATTATCACGATGCAGAATGCTGACTAGTGTTGGGGATGATTGGAAGAAACTTAAAGGTGGCCAAACAAAAATGTGTCATCAGTGCTTAAACTCACTAACTTCTCATTTGATTCATGTTAATAGATGCAGACTACTTGGTTAGGGTTCACGTGACTATCGTAACCAATGGTTGGAGACTCTTGGTGACCTGGCTTAGAATCGATCACAATGACGTAGATGTATACACTCTTTGCCTTTCCCGTAAATTGTAAAATTAAAATTGCTTTATATTTTTATATCTACAAACTAATTCTCTCTTCTTCTATTATATCCATGTACACAATCTTTTCTTTATACATTACTACAGTTGAAGTAACTACTTCTATGAATTTAGTGTTCATCTTGGTGTGCTAATGAGTAAGGCTTGGCAAGTTCGACCGATGCATGGTCATGCATTGTAGCTGACTGACTGACTGACTGACTCACAGTTTTTATGGAGGTTCTCACTATATAGAGGATTTCAGTCATTGTCGGTTATTATTGAAATAAAATACTATAATACTAATAAATGAACAAAGAATATTATTCTTTATTAAGTTCTCAGTAGATGCTTCAATGATTATATACCGAAATGAATGGATATAAATGAATAGTCAAGTTTAAGGTAATCAAATTGTTTAAAATTAGATCATATGAATTTAACATTATTGAGAAACTGTTTAGGATGAGTAGGGGGTTTTGTAGAAATTTTAGTAATTTAATAGTTGAATTCATGAGTCAATTAAAGCTAGAACATTATAGAAAACCCAGAAGCACTGGATAGGACGTATTGTACTATTGTGGAACTCCTCAACAGTGCATAACCATGATTCCACCTCCGAATATTAGAACCTAGGACCTACCGGCCTTGTACACGAACGCTTAACGTTTAGATCATTGAGACGGCATCTAACTGTGTTTATGTCTAACTTCAACCAATTCACTAAATTTCACCACCGTCCATCGTTGTCTTCAGTGAGTTATTATTTCACAACAGACCTGGTTGAATTCTACTGATCACTACTTCTCATTGCTGAAGTGACCCATACTAGGATGAAACGGCTGTCCAGTGGCTTTCAGTAGTGGTCTACCATTAATTGACTCATGAATTCAACTATGAAATTACTATAATATACACAAAAACCCCTTCTGATATTAATCAATGTATGCTCATTAGTGACTGACCTCAAGTGGTATATCGTGGAGTTCTAGTGGGAAGCAGTGACCAGTGAAGTTCAACCAGGTCTGTTGTGAGATAGTAACTCACTGAAGACAATGATGGATATGTCGCTCAATTTCGTGGATTAGTTGAGGTTAGACATGAACACCGTTGGATGCCGTTCGGCTTAGTGGTCTAGAGGTTAAGCATTCACGCGCGAGAGTTTTATAGCAATCTATGTACTGAGAATTCTGTTAACTATAGTATGATGTGTGCAAAGATGGTTAGCGACTAGCAGTGGAATCCAGTTAGACGCACATTTCATCTTATTTGTGACTCAGCTGGATATACCTGCACCTCAGAGTAGATGTTCACTCTGGGACTCGAACTCAGTACCGTTCACTTCAAACTCTATCACGTAATCCACTTAGCTACTGAGTCCTGATATTCATTTACTTGTGTAATAGGGTGAAGTTTAATTCACTTGGTATTATTTGTAGCAAACGGTACTAGGTTCAAGTCTTAAGCATTATATGCAAAGATGGATAGTGGTTAACATGTGATGTGATCATCAGTTAGTAATAAATGTGATCGTTAAAGAGCATTTATTTTTAGTAAATAGACACTAAGAGTTTTACCTTCCATTTTGTCCTAAAACATATTTCAACATATAATCGTATAATAATATACTCATAATCATATCGATATTCAATATCCTATTGTGGAACTCTTCAATAGAGCGTATCCATGATCCCACCTCGTGAGATTCGAATCCAAGATATATCAGTCTTGTGCGTAAGCGCTTAACCATTAGACCACTGAAATGGTCGACATCCAATGTTGTTAATGTGTAACTTTAACTAATTCACGAAATTACTATAATATCCACTAAACCGCTTCTTATATTAAAAGAATAATTATAGAGGTGAAACTATACTACATTAGTGAGTGTGACTGACACTAGATTTATCATTTTAATTTTAAATAAATGCTATATGGTAGAAAGCCTAGGAACATTGGATGGTTGCTTTGTTCTAATATGAAACTCATCAGGAGTGTGCATTCACGATCTCCTAGGCAGGACGCCAACACGCCTAACCTTTAGACCACTGGGATGGTATCCAATGTTTTACTTCAACCAATCCACGATATTGCGCGATCATCCACCATTGTCTTCAGTGAGTAACTGCCTTTATTTATTTATTTATTTTAACATATAGATATCATTACAAGGAAGCACCAAATACATATGTTCCACACAGATCTCATTGGATATGTGTGAGGGATGTGATACTGCTCGGGTGCCCAAACCGAAACAGGTGGTTTTCTTAGGGGGCCACACCCAGAGCCTTTAACCTGAAGATCTGATCCACAAGGCAGTGGAGCATCGTAAGGAGATGCAGTCCCATGGTAGCCGATGACCGACGATTGGTTCATACGCCATTTGTTCATTCAGGATACTGGAGCCCATGTGAACCATTGGTTTTGGATCCGGTTAAAGTGCCGGACATTCGCTTTTCGTCCTCTCATTTTCGTAAACAACACCCGTGGTGCGAGAAGGCAGTGAAAAGGACTTCTCTTGGCAGTAGTTGTATGCACGTGGCCATGTGAGAGCACTTCGAGAGGTAGAGCGGACTCTCCCCACTCTTAGCCGTACCAGGGCATTTGGAGGCAGTGACTGCCTCATACTATCCAATATTAGCACGAAATGGCCATCCAATGCTTCCAGGTTTTTAATGTTGTTCTAGCATAACCCATTCATGATATCAATCTAAACTAAACAATCTCCACAACACTATACCGATAGCTTCATTCAATCAGTGAATTTATCAAGATTATTTTTAAGACAGACTGTATTTACTGAAAGACTTCATTACTTCCTTGGAAGATCAATATATCTTTAAATCCTTTATCAAGAAGCAGTTACTTCTATTAAGTGTTTCTTATAGTATTAACAATGTTAGAACAACGTGAATAGAATACCTAGTCATTATAATTAGTTTGTACGATTGATTGTAATGACATAAATTTACTAATAATAGTTCCTTATGCATTAATGAATCTCCTGACTGAACGTTTGAATCGATTTCCTAAGTTCTTTGAATAACCCCAGGTTAATTTACCGTACACGACAACTTGAATACGAGATAAAAACACCAAAATATGGAAAGAACACTTTACTTCAAGATTATTTTATGCATACAAAATTTGACACTTATCATAACATTTCAGATGACCTTAAACGTCTGGAACGTTCTGGAACTTTACTAAACACAGTGGAACGATAGTTAATATGACATGTGACTCTTCACTGACTAGATGATTCTGAGACATTTCAATTCAATGCTGATTGGATGAAATATTTCCCAGAGGTGTTAGGGACCTGTTTAGGCTCTTTTTATTTTTAAAGGAATATACAAGGTATCCCCGACATTCATTCCTTAGGAATGTTTAATGTAGATGTAATATTTGATTGTCAAACCACGTCATATATTCTACATTTGTAAAATTAATGGTTAGATTGTATTCTATAAAACTATCCATGAATCTTTAGTTGTTCTATATTCTCTTTATAAAGAATATAATTGTCATTTGTATTATTGATTATGTACTAATTAAATAGACTAATGCAAAATTTATTTATTTATTATTATTTATTTTAACACATAGATATTGGTACAAGGAGGCACCAAATACATATGCGCCACACATATCTCATTTGATTTGTGTGAGGGATGTGATACTGGCCGGGTGCCCAAACCGAACCAGGTGGTTTTCTTAGGGGGCCACACCCCGAGCCTTTGACCTGAAGGTCTGATCCACAAGGCAGTGGAGCATCGTGGGGAGATGCAGTCCCATGGTAGCCGGTGACAATGCAAAATATCAATAATATTATAAACAGGATAAAAAACAATTCCTCAACAACTGAAGAGTTCTATACTAAGACGAAACAGTCATTTAATGCTTCTAAATTTTCAATAATAGTCTAATATTCATCTATTCATTATATGAATTATAATCTATCATTTAATCATATTCCATTTTAAATAAGAGAATTCAATGATCAGTTTAATAAATTATGATAAGAATTAAAAGTGGATCAGGATTAACCTAGATGTTCCATTGAACTAACTTTACTAATGAATAGATTAATTCCTTCGGATACATCACAATATACTGGTAATCTCTTTACATTGGTAATTCATTATAAACTTTGAATCAAATCACGTATTTTTATAAGTAGTATCTAATAAGTTAAATGAAGACAGACATATTTCATTGTGTATATTGACAATGGTACTTCTACTGTATTGATCAATATGAATATTAGTTAAGTGAAGAATTAATACATATAACTAGATATTAGTTTTAAGCAAAGATGAATAGTGACTATTAGTGAAATCCAGGATGTGTGTTTCGTTCTATTTGAGACTCGTCAGCTGGGTTTACCTACATCTCTTAGGTGAGATTGGAATCCATTACTGTTCACTTCAAACACTATCATATTATCCACTTAGCTACTAAATGGTGATAGCTACTAGTTTATGGAATGTGATGATGCTGATGATGATGATGATGATGATGCTGATGATGATGATGATGATGATGATGATGATATCATTCGGAAGAACAATAAAAGATCCACGACCAAACTCTCTAGATCTGAGAATAAAACTCCATCGAAATCATTCACCTAGGCTACAAATCTTCTCAACCATTTTACAATTCATTATATCATTATAATTATAAATGTAAATACTTTCCATTTTGTAATTTATATTAATGTATAATCAAGAATAAGCTCAATAGTTAATGGAATTTTGTTTCTTCTTAGTATAACAGTTACTGATGGTAGATAATCAGAATCCTACTGTAAAAACATTACCCTTTTGAATGATCAATTAATCAATAATCAGTGATAATATGAGTAAAAATGTTTCTGATGTGGAAATATATTTACATTGTGGTCAGGTTAATCATGTGTTCTTGATCATTTGAGTTGTGTCGACGTCCTGTAGAATAGACACTTGGGGTGGGGTGGGGTAGGGTAGGGTGGGGAATCTAGTGTAGATATTCGTCTAATGTTGAAAACTCAACCGTTATAACATTAGACGAAGTAAAATCGAAAGTTATAACAATTAGCAACGGGGTGAAAAACAAAGAATCAAAAGGTATAAACTACAAGGTATAACAGGATTTATTAATAATAATAATAATAATAATAATCAGGTTCTAAACTTGAGTTTCAATTCTTCAAAAAGTCGATAGATAATTCCTTGATACGTCTTGATACTATACGAAAGTTTTCATATAGTCATAAGATAGAACAGCTATACCGATTAAAACAGGATGCTTTGGAACGTGTAATGAAAATAGTTCTTGTTATTATTATTTTATTAGCAGAATCACTGTGATTCAATTGGTACTGAATAGATGGTTTATTCTCAGCAATATTCACTCATGGACTTCTGATCATGATACCAAAGAAAGGAGATGTCAACAAGTGTGATAATTACAGAGGCATCATTCTTCTCTCAATACTAGGAAAAGTCTTCAATAGGGTATTATTAAACAAAATGAAGGACTTTGTAGATGCCCAAGTTCGAGAAAAACAGGTTGGATTTCTTAAAATTCGATCATGTACAAATCAAATCGCAACTCTACGGATCATTGTGGAACAATCAATTGAACGGAATTCATCACTCTACATCAACTTTATTGACTACAAGAAAGAATTTCATATCTGACGCAGATGTGAAGGCGCGGATCGGCAAAGCAAGAGCAGCTCATCTACAACTGAAGAACATATGGAACTCAAAACAACTATCTGTCAACCAACACCAAAGTCAAAATTTTCAATACAAATGTCAAAACAGTTCTACTGTATGGGGCGGAAACTTCGAGAACTACAAAAGTCATCATCCAGAATATATAAGTGTTTGTTAACAATTGTCTACGCAAAATAATTCGGATCCGTTTACCAACACACTATCAGCAACAACCCACTACTGTGGTAATGAACAAACCAGATTCCAGTGGACGAAGAAATCAGGAAGAGGTACTAGAAGTGGATAGGACACTCATTGGGGAAATCATCAAACTGTGTCATTACAACGCAATCCCTGATCACTTGGAATCCTCAAACAATCTCCAAAGAATGAGAAGAGGAAGATCAAAGAATACATTACTTTGAGAAATGGAGATAGACTTGAGAAGAATGAACACGAATTGGATAGAACTGGGAAGGAAGATCGAGGACAGAGAGTGTGTTGTGGAACGCCGGTCGACAGCCTATGCTCCATTGGGGGGGGGGTGGGAAGTAATACGCATAAGTAAGTAAATAAGTAATATATAATAATCAGTCTTATTGAAGTATTGCTCTTAGTAATAATCAAACAAGTATTAAATATTCAATAATACATTTATACTTACCATAGTTTCCTTTTTTACTTGTATCTTTATTGATTAATAATAAATTACGTAATTCTGTATTTTTGATATGAGTTACCTTGACTACAAAACTTCTTACACTATAAGTAAATAAATAACAATTTTGATTAGTCAATTGCTTAATATAATATTTTAAGGAAAGTAATATATTACAAATTTATGAATGTTCTCATATGACATTCATTGTATAATACATTCTATGATATGGATAATTCATCGATATTACTTACTTACGTCGGTTACTCCTCATTGAGGAGTATAGACCGCTTACCAGTACTGTCTGTTCAACCCTATCTCAAGTAATTCTTTGTAATTCTTTCCAGTTGTTATACGTTCTTTTCATGTCTGATTCTAATTTCCGACACAGTGTGTTCATCAGCTTTGCTCTTTTATGTTTCCTTTCAGGATTCTAAGTTAGTGCTTGTCTTGTGATGCAGTTTGATAATTTCCTCAATGTATGTTCTGTCCATTGTCTTCTTCTAATTTAAACCTCATCTGAAAGCTGATTTGTGCTCTCCTGCAGAATTGTATTGCTGATTGTTTCTTGCCAATAAATGTTGAGTATGTTGCATAGACAACTATTTATAAATACTTGTACCTTCTTGATGATGGTTGTATTAGTTGTTATGTAAGTTTCAGTTCCATATAATAGAACTATCTTGATGTTTGTATTGAAGATTATGACTTTGATGTTGGTTGACAATTGTTTTGATTTCTATATGTTGTTTAACTATTGAAATGTAGCCTTTGTTTTGCCAATTCTCATTTTTACGTCTGCATCTGATCCTCGATGTTCATTAATGATACTTCCCAGGTACGTGATTAGAATATCTACAGATATACTTGTGTAAAACATTCATTTTGTGGTATTAAAGTTACACTATTGAGTGTTTTAATTCGTTGTGTTTATTAAGTGTTTAACTTAGATGAATGAAATTATACCTTTAATTAACAAATTCTAAGCGCAATTTATATTCCTTTTTATATACCCTTATATGTACTTCGGTTTCAACATACACAAAGGGAAAACCAAGGTCCTCAAACACAACACAGAGAACAGCAATCCAATCACTACTGATAGCGAAACTCTGGAAGATGTAAAATCCTTCACATACCTGGGAAGCACCATCGATAAACAAGGAGGTTCAGATGCAGACGTAAAGGCGAGAATTGGCAAAGCAAGGGTCGCGTTCCTTGAATTGAAGAGCATATGAAACTCAAAACAACTTTCAACCAATATCAAAATCAGAATCTTCAGTACCAACGTCAAGACAGTTCTACTGTACGGAGCTGAGACATGGAAAACTACAACAACCATCATCAAGAAAGTACAAGTATTTACCAATAGCTGTCTACGCAAGATACTCAATATCCATTACCCGGATACCATCAGTAACAGCTTTCTGTGGAAGGAAACAAACCAGCTTCGCGCTGAAGAGGAAATTAGGAAATGATGATGGAAATGGATAGAACATACATTACTCAAATCATTAAACTGCATCACGAGGTAAGCGCTAACTTGGAATCCTGAAGGGAAGCGGAAAAAAGGAAGGCCAAAGAACAAATTACATCGGGAAATAGAATCGGATATGAAAAGGATGAATAAGAACTGGAAAGAGCTGGAAAGGATTGCTTGGGAGAGGTTTGGATGGAGAATGCTGATAGGCGGCGGCTTATGCTCTTTCACGAGGAGTAACAGGCCTAAGTAAGTAAGTAAGTAATATGTACTTCTTCCAATGGCTAAAAGATACTTATCTCTTCAACATTTTCCAATGAGTAATGGATCAAAATTTATAGTCTAATTGGTCACATGCAAATAATCAACGATAGTGTTTGTTAAATGACTTTCTTTAAATGTATGTTCCGTAGGACAGTAAAAAAAAAATAAACAGCTGATTGAAAGATTGCAAAAAGAAAAAAACTGGTCAATATCACTTTGATGAATGAAAATGATCCATCAGATTCTCGATGTATCTATCTGTTGACAGGATGGACCATAGTCACATTACACATCATGCATATTAAATGATAAACAAAGCATCTACAATACTTTATTAAGTAGTTATTCAATATGGTATACAGAAATATGTTTCAACCTTTTTTTTAATGATTAATTTACCTAAATAAGTGGTTGTTCTAGTTGTTAGAATAAGCGTCAGTCTCATGACTCTCGAAGGAACTCGACTTTCATCATGATACATCATAACTCTTCTAAATGAAGACTTTCTAACTTCCAGGACAAAATTTAAATGATTGGAATTAATTTTTCTGGTTAATAGTTTTTTAATGAGTTAATTTCCTACGGCATGTGGTCACTAACCCCTTTCTCAACTCTCTTTCTTTTTATCCGGGCTGGCTTAGAAACAACAGTAGCCCTGGGAGGGGGTGCTCCATGTGGAGTTTTATCCATGTAAACATCATCTTCAAATTAAATAAACAAAGAAATATATACTTACTTATTATCATATGATATTGGTTCATTAGTTAAATTGAAGACAACACAATTATGTCCTTTATGATGAATAGATTTTGTACTAGATTTTCCTATAGAATGTGTTTTCCATTGATTTCGATGCTTTAAAATTGATGAATGATCAATCGTGAAAGTTCCAATATTATTTATTAATTCTAACTTGGATGAATCCAATTGTTGAATAGATACAAAACGCTGAAAATGATCAGTGACAAACAAAATGAATTAACAGAATGGGGGGGGGTTATGGAGATGAATCGGTTTTCGATTAAGATCATGAATTGATTGATGTGAGACGAACATTGAAAACTTGGAAGCACTGGGTAGCCAACTCGTTCTATTGTGGGACTCCTCAGCAGTATGCATCCACAATTCAGCTCGCAGGATTCTAACCCAGGGCCTTTGGTCTCGTGCGCAAACGCTTAACATCTAGACTACTGAGCTGATATCCAACGATGTTAATTTTTAACCTTAACCAATTCATGAAATTGCGTGACCATCTTCCATTTTACTGTGGTAGATACCTGTCTCTATCCGACACGGATTAGCTCCACTGGAGATAATCGGACGAAACAGCCATCCAATGCTTCTAGGTTTTCAATAGTGGTCTCACATTAATCGGTTTATGATCTCGATCAAAAATGAATTAAATATTAAACTACGGTAAAAGTATAATATACTGATGGCCTTGAGTTAACCAATTCGAGTTACGATGACGCCTCGAGTACTTCGCGCAAAATTTAAACTACAACGATAGATAACTTGATGTTATTACAAACGAAGTAAATATTGACAGTAATTTATCCTTAAGATGCTTGAAATCCTGACTCCGAGTTTCATAAGTTTGTAACTAGAAGGATGATAAAGAACAGCATTATAACGAATATCAGTTGGTGATGAAAACCTTGACCCTAATATTGTAAATCAATCTCAGAATTTCAGCTTAACTGTTAATATCTAATCCTAATCCTAATCCTCTTGCATTATCATCGGCATTAGTTATTGACGAAATCTATGAGTTGATCAGCCTAACTCACAACACTAGCCTTAATGTTAATCTGCTAATTAAACCTTTTACTTTAACTACAAAGTATAATTCAGCATGTAAAAGTTGATTATTGAAATCAAAGCTATTATTCTATTGTTATAATATTGCTGTTTTGATATTGATTCCTTTGTTACTAGGCAAGGTTTCCCAAATGGCTGATAAGTAGCTCAAGATCGTCGGTATATTATACGTTTACCTAAACTGCAATTAAAATTGAAATTGAACAATCATCAAAGCTTTTTGTAGTTGCGAAGCCATAGAAAAGATATTATTTTGTTTCTATGACAACAATTTACTTAATAAAGTATGAAGGGCTTGTATAGACTGTAGTATATTGATAGTTGAGATCACAAGTCGATCTAAGGAAAACCACCATTGAAAACTTGAAAGCACTGGATGGTCAGCGAATCCAATTCGTTTTGAGAGTGAGACAGTCGTCCACCATAGTCAATAGATGAAGGGTTGCGCAAGGTTGTGAATTGATTGAAGTTAAACAATAATATCATTGGATGCTAGTTCACTGGACTAGAGGTTAAGGATTCTCGCGTGAATTCGAAGGCCCTACGTTCGAGTCCTACATTAGGGATCGTGAATGTACATTGTTGAGGAGTTCCATACTAGAATGAAACTGCCATTCACAGCTTTCAAGTTTTCAATAGTATTATACCTTAAATCGACTCATGTGATATTCTACAGATTACAGTAAAACGTTCCAAATAAATCAATCTACAGATTTGTCTCATAGATGAGATTTATGCCAAGTCAGATAATACATATAATCTTGGTTATTTCGATTATAAATCACTGGTAGTTATTATAATCGGTTTATTTCTATCTCCATCTAATCTTTACCTAATAAGATTACTTTATAGATATTTAACAAAGTCTAAAAGAGCTGTTCATTATAAACTGATATAGATAAGGTTAAAGTATGGGTCAAACCAGACATGTTAATAAAAGATGACTTTAAGGTTACAGGACAGGGTTGGATGGCGAGTGCTAATGGCTGGCATATACTCCTCCGCAAAGAGTAACAGGTGTAAGTAAGTAAGTCAAGGTTACAACGCATAACTGAGAGAAGAATACTGATTATCAATTAGATACTAATCCAATTCAAAGATAGTAAAAGACAAGTAGTAATTCGAAAAGAGTTTAAAGACAATAGCGAAAAGAACCTATTCATTGTTGACTAATTGTAAGTAAACTCTTACATGTTACTCGAGGAATCATAGAAACCAATATAGCTATACTGGAAAAGTAAACTGAAGTAATAGCAGTGGAGTCATATGTGAGGGCGTGAAGCAGCATATCTACTATTGAAGAACATATGGAACTCAAAACAACTATCTGTCAACCAACACCAAAGTCAGAATTTTCAATACAAATGTCAAAACAGTTCTACTGTATGGAGAGGAAACCTGGAGAACTACGAAAGCCATGATTTAGAAGATACAAGTGTTTATTAACAATTGTCTACGCAAAATAATTCGGATCCGTTTACCCAGACACTATCAGAAACAACCCACTACTGTGCAAAAGAACAAATCATAATCCAGCGGACGAAAAAATCAGGAAGAAGTACTGGAAGTGAATAGGATACACAATGAGAAAAGCACCTAACTCCGTTATCATAAGACAAGTCCTCGCAGGGAATCTTCATGGCCAAAGGAAAAGAGGAAGTGAGAAGAACACATTACGTCGAGAAATGGAGATAGATATGAGAAATTTCACAGATGAATTACTTTATCAAACCTACTTTAATGAGAGAAGACTCTAGTAATAGTTAACTAATCATTGTAGTTATATTCAAACTTGCTCAATTTTTACGTCAATCCTTTTAGCTCTATCAAATATAACATCATGTCAATTGAATTTAAGATCATCAATTCTTCGAACGTAATAATTACAATTTAGAAAATTGAATGGGTAAATGGATAGAGATCATGAATTTCCATTATACACTTTGAGATTACTCATTTCGAATATTGTATAGTGAACGAGAACACAAGTGCGGGATAATCAAATGTCTCCGAATGTATTTTGAATACACTACAACAAACGCCCTTCCCCAGAACACTCCACTTGACGTCAACCCCCCCCGCACCAGACCGCTCCAACATGTACCTCAGCTCCAGGTTCGCAACAACATCTGCAGGACAGCGCTCTTCCCCTATTCTGATTAACAGCGATGCCAAATGTAGTGAACAAGAACATAAGTGGAGACAATCGAATATATTACAAAATCTCTTAGTAAAATCTGACATCCATACAGGCAATATTTCATCTTCAAAATATCAATCAATCGTCTTAGATTTCCCTATTTGTACATTTTTTACATCAATCATTCTGCGTTCTCCTTCTCTTCTCCTTGATCTTTTTTAATCTTCTACCACCAGGTATTCCATTTTCGATTAATGATACATACTACTATTGATATCTGTCGAAATCAGTAGTACACAACATAATAGTAGTCAGTTATTACATAACTAAACTATTTCCATTATAAACACCCTTATGAACAAAAACAAAAACAAAACAGGTACACGTAGTCTATTGACCTCTTAAGTTTGTTTAGTCTGATATAACAATAAGATATGACTTTAGACTTATTGAAGGAACTGAAATATTCCATTGAATATTGTTCTATTTAGGATACAATGAAATGAAAATGTATTTGCTAAGTTATGTAATAGAAAGATTATAATGAATAATTCTTACACTTGTATTGAATAATTGATGAATCACATCAGTTACTATACAGAATAGTTGATCGGGATCAATATTATCTAATAAGTTCAATGTAGACTATAATAGAAAAAAAAACAAAATAAAGTAAAGATAGAAATGTATATATCTACCCGAAATACATGGCTATTTATGGTCATTGTGAAAATGATTACAACACTTACTTACATACTTATGCCTGTAATCCCCAATAGTGTATAGGCCGTTGAGCAGCATTCTACAACCAACTCGATCCTCAAACTTCCTTTCCAGTTCTGTCTAATGTTTGTTTATTTTTCTCATGTCTGTCTCCATTTCTCAACGTAATGTGTTCTTTGTTCTTCCTCTTCTCACTTGACCTTGAGGATTCCATGTGAGGGCTTGCTTATGATGACGCAGTTGGGTACTTTCCTTAATATGTGTTCTATCCACTTCCAGTACTTTTTCATGATTTCTTCCTCCGCTAGGATCTGGTTTGTTCTTTTCCACAGTAGTGAGTTGTTTCTGATAGTGTCTGGATAAACGGATCCGAATTATTTTGCGTAGACAATTGTTAATAAACACTTGTATCTTCTCGATGATAGCTTTTTGTATTCGTTGTAAAACTGATTGTTACACTAAGAGATCACTATGGAGATAATCGAATTTCAATGAAATCATGAACTGATCATAGTTAGATAAGCATTCAAAACGTGAAAGCAGAAGATGACAATTTAGTCTTAATAAGGGACTCATCAGTAATACAGATTCACGGCCTCATCAACAGATAATCGAAGTTAGAAAATTCGGATTCGTGCAAGGACGTTTAACCTCTAGACCGCTGAATTAGATTCCAATGGTGTACAAGTTTGATTCGAATCAATCAGCGGTATTACACTGTCGACCTTCACAGTCTTTGGTGGATAACTGCCACACACAAGACACAGCTAAACTTTACTGGTCACATCATTTTACTGAAAATCCGAAAATTTCTTTTCGAAGCTAGTCGCTAGTGAGTACATGATAATGGACACTGTAAGATTGCGGAGCATGTTCAATTTCATTTCAAGCCGAAGATTCTGGGTGGGATTCTCATATGCGGGATAGTGATTGCCCACTGATTAAGAGTCTTACACTACAATGGGACGGTCGTCCACTACTTCCAGGTTTTCAATGATGGTCTGACTTAGATCGGTTCATGATTTCATTTATATTATTTTGCATAGCTTGACGGTTTTTGGACATTAAGTTGTTATTTTAGACAGTTTTTGTTGTCAACTGACGTAGCTGGAAAATTCGGAAGTTTTAAATGTTGAACTGTAACTTGAATAGAGTATGAACTGTCAAATCGTTGGATTCAAAATTAATGAAATAAACGTATTATGCTCATGAAGTATTTACTAACGATTGTCTAAGCAAGATTCTCAATATCCGTTGGCCAGATACCATCAGTAACAACCTACTTTGGGAGAGAAAAAACCAACTTCCAATTGAAGAGGAAATTAGGAAAATACGATGGAAGTGGATAGGACATACATTGAGGAAATTATCAAACTGCATAACGAGGTAAGCCCTAACTTGGAATCCTGAAGAGAAATAGAAAAGAGGAAGACCGAAACACACAGTGTACAGGGAATTTGAGGCAGATATCAAAAGAATGAATTGCAGCTGGAAACAACTGGATAGGATTGTCCAGGACATAGTTGGATGGAAATGTCGAGAACAAGAACACTAATGGGAACAATCGAATGCATTTAGGCACATAGTTACAAAGTATCTCAATAAAAACTGAGAACCATATATTAAATCGTTAATTCGCAAAATATTAATCCATCATATCAAACTTGACGGTTCCCGTTGCAAACATCAATCGATTGTCTGACATTTCATTGCTCGTGCGTTTTCATACAAATTCCATTGTGTTTCCGCTCTTCCTTTCTTGATCTTCTCCCATCTTCTGCTGCCAGACATTACGTTCCTAACTCGCGTTGTACACTACTTATATCAATATAAGTAGCGCACACCACAGAGACTGCTGTTGGGCGGTCTATGATTCTTCATGAGGGGTTACAGGCATAAGTAAATTGGTAAAATAATTCAGGTCAACATTTTAATAATGACTGAAATGAACTTATCTAATTATTTATTAGTTAGAATGGTGCCAAATCAACAAATGATGAAGTGAGTTATACCTTGATAATCATATATTAAAATACAAAAGATTAGTATCGTGTAAAACAACAGTCTGTTGCCTAGGAAGATAGAAATGAACAAAGTTTAAACAATGAATAACTTATGAGAAGGGGTTTTGTGGAGATTTTAGTAATTTCAATAGTTAAAATCATAATTCAATCGAAGGTAGACCACCATAGAAAACCTGGAAGCACTGAACGACCGTTTCGTTCTTGTATGAGACTCCTCAGCAGTCCTGGGTTCGAATCTCGCGGGGTTCTAGTGCTTCCAGGTTTTCCATGATGTTCTAGCTTTAATTGACTCATGATTTCAACTATTGAAATAGAAAAGTTAGTTTTGATGTCCTATTCCAATCCAACATAGTGAAGCTTATATTATTGTATATCATGAAGTTCAATTTTCCATTTGAAACATCTTGAAGAATTACATGTATTCGATATATCTTCGCAAGTTATATGTTTACGTGTTCAACATTAGATTTTCTTTAGCGTAATTCACAAATTTACTTTACAGACTGTGTGTGTGTGTGACTGAAACTGTTATTCATTGGATTACAGAACCGTGATATCAGTATAGGGATTGTGGAGATTGTCAAGTTTTTGATTGAGATCATGAACAGATTGATGTTAGATCACCATTGAAAACCTGGAAGCGCTGGACGGCCGTTTCGTCCTATTATGGAACCCATGATCCTGCCTCGTGAGACTCGAACCCAGGACCTATCAGTCCTGTGCGCGAACGCTTAACCTCTAGACCACTGAGCCGGCCGGCCGGCCGGAATCCAACGGTGTTAATGTCTAACTCCAACCAATCACAAATTAATTGTTCCATAGAAACATATTAATTCAATCATTCTTATTTGTTACTTAACAGACAATGATTTGAAAAATTACAAAAATTCAGATTAAGATGTTTTTGAAAAATGAATAACCATATCATCATACTTCATAGAAAATCAATAAATCGATTTATAAAGTAGGTTTACGGAAGTTATTTGGAGTTAACAATAGTATTTGTTGCGGACTAACATCAGCTTGTGTATCCACGAATAGTTGTACTCGTTCTTGAATGGAACTTTTCAGAACTACAAATCCATGAGTCCACAAGAAATCGAAGTGATAAATTACCGTTCTCATACTTGATACTTTAAAATTCAAAATCCTATAGATATAAATTCATCAGATTAATACTATAAAGCACACTACTGAAATGCTTTAATCTGCTATGATACAACTGTCTGGTACCATTTGGCTTATATTGTTTATCTACTTGTTGACTTAGAATATGCCGATGACATAGTTCTATTTGGTGAAGATGCTGACAAAATGCAGAGTCTATTGACCACTCTAAGCAACAATGCAGGCATGTTCGGCATGCGGTTTTCTCCCTCGAAATGCAAAATGTTGCTTCAGGATTGGGTTGCATCGACACCCAAACTAATAATAGGGAGTGAAGTAGTCGAGCGTGTCGAGCGCTTCACTTATCTTGGAAGTCTCATCAGCACTTGTGGTCTGGTGTGACGAAATCTCTGCACGGATACAGAGGTCTCGGCTAGCTTTTGTCAACTTGCATCATTTGTGGCGTAGACGAGATATCCGTCTATCAACCAAAGGACGTGTTTACTGTGCAGCAGTTCGTCCCGTCCTACTTTATAGTAGTGAAACATGGCCAGTAAGAGTAGAGGATATTCGTAAGTTACTAGTATTTGACCATAGATATCTTCGAAACATTGCTCATATATCCTGGGATCACCGAGTAAGTAACTCAGTTGTTAGGGAACGGGTACTAGGTAAGGATGGCAAATCAATTGAGGAAGTAGTGAAACTTCATCAGTTAAGATAGCTAGGACATATGTTACGTATGCCTATTGTGTATTGACTAATAGTTTCTAAAGTATTATTATTATTATCTGATCTTAATTAGAACCAATAATAACAATCAATCTTAAATCAATAATTTATCGATAATCTTTGTTCAAGATTAATCTCATTTAAGTAACACCAACAGAGTGTATTAGAAAACCATTGGTTCTTAATCTGGAATACTGATACAGTATAAACCTTAATCCATTCATCTTGATGTTAATCATTAAAAAAAACTTGATCTTTAAAATAATATCTCACATATATGGAAAATTTAAAGTAAATTTGTTGATTGAGATCATGCATGGATTGATATTAGACTGACATTCAATATCTGAAGGCACCGGACGGCCGTTTAGTCCTAGCTTAGGACTCTTCAGATGTGATTAGTAGAGTTCTATCCGTGTCGGGTAAAGACAGGTATTTACCTTAGACAATGGATGAATGGTTGTGCAACTATTCATGGATCGATAAAAGTTAGACATTAACACTGTTAGATGCTGGTTCAGTGGATTAGAGGTTAATTGCTGGAGTTCGAAGATCTTGGGTTTGAATCACGCGTACGGGATTGTGAATGAGCACTGCTAAGAAGTCCCATACTAGGACGAGGTGGCTCTCCAATGTTTTCAACATAAATCGATTCACGATCTCAATCAAAAATTTGACAATCTCTACCACCTCACACTAATAAATGAATTGAATAAAACATACACTCTTTTCATATAAAATATACTTTGTTACTCATACTTTGTAAACATTTTCCATCAGAATAAAATGAAGAAATTATAGCTTATATTCACTTGATATTGTTTTACATGAATCTTCTCATTGATGCTTAACACTATAATTGATCAGTCTGTTATTGACATTTGTGTATACTATATGTATTGCCTTGATATTGCTTTAATTCACCCAATTCCATAAGCAAGTGGATATCAGGACTCAGTAGCTAATTGGATAATATGATGAAGTTTGAATCGAACAGTACTGTGTTCGAGTCCCAGAATGAATATCAACTGTCAGGTGCAGATACACCCAGCTGACGAGTCCTAAATGGGATGAAACGTATATCTTAGATTCCACTGCTAGCCATTATTTATCTTTGCTTAAAATGATAATTTATACCCAAAACATTAAACTTTTTTTAAAGTTTTTTCTTAATGTACTACTATTAATACTACTAATAAGAATGTAATTGATAGTCAATTATTTTCCATTTTCAATATTGTATTGCATATCTCTATATATTCAGAATAAAGGTTCCATTCAAATGACGAATTCTAGTTGAAGAGAGATAAAGGAAGTAATAAATATGAAGGTGATTCATAGTTTGTATTTCAATTCCCAATCACAAATAATCGTTATCTTTAATTCTGTAAAAGTGTCAACCACTTCCAGGAAAGTCCTACTCATTGCCTTCTCCCGGCACCGGTGTTGTGTTTACGAAATTGAAAGGACCAAAAGTGAATGTCCGGTGTTTTAACCCGGTAGGTGGATACAGAAGATGCACTTAGAGGAGTTGGAAAACCCTGATTTCAAATTAATGGTATACGTAGTCTACAGGATCCTAAAAAAACAAATGTTGTATGAACCAATTATTGGTTACCGACTACTAAGAGGCTTCATCTCCTTAGATGGCTCCACTACCTTGTGAACCAGACCTTTAGGTCGAAGATTCTGGGTGTGCCCTCCTAAGAAAACCACCTGTTTTTGCTTCGGGTACCCGGGCGGTATCCCAGTCTTTACACAAATCAAACGATTTAAGGATTACTAAATACTAATTATATTTAATATATGATTACTAGAATAAGTTTAAAGTAATGTGATTTAGTAAACTGGTAGTACAATATCGATTATTTTCAATGATTAATTTAAAACAAATTCTAAACATTATTAAGTTCTCAGTTATATGTATCCATGACAATCGATTTATATTGATAATGATTTATCGCACTCAAAGAGGAGGAAGTGGTCTAGTGGTTAAGCGCTCGCTTTTACGGGAGACTGGTAGGTCCTGGGCTCAAATCCCGAGAGACAGGGTCGTGCATGCATTGGAATGAATGAATCGAACTTTCAATATTGTTTCCATGCAATTCAGTTCAAGTATTTGACATTCTCTTTATATTTATTTGCTAGAGTCAATGAATCAATGATATCTAATAGATGATGTATGTTATTCAGTAAACCATTTGAAGTTTCAATTTGATTAACCATTGATTGTCACAGTATGATCTTTATGCTAAAACCCTAGAAAATGTGATGTGTTTTATTTTGAAATTCTTTCATAATTTACATACTGAGAAGTGAAGTTATCAATGTTGATTTAGTTGTATGGAGGATTCCTATGAGATATTATCTAATGTAACTATAAGATGATGAAGAACATTTTTAGCTCAAGTGGATGATTTCGATGAAGTTTTGTTCTCTCAAATGGATGGTTTCGTTGTGGAGTTTTCATCGTTCTTCTGAACGACATCATCAGCGCAAATTTCAGATAGAAGTGAAGTGATCGAATTTCTTTACATATGACTCACAGCTTGTCCTGTAGACCTCGATATGGATTAGTTCTTGTTCACCTTAAACTTGTCATTATTTACTTCTTTGCTTTTGGTTATATCTCCTATTGGTTTAACTTCTACCTAAAATTTGTGTTGATGATGTCGTTCAGGAGAACGATGAAAGTTCTATGATGAAACCATCCAGCTCAGAAGACAATACTCTAACAACACTTTCAGCTTGTATATTTATAGGTCAAATGAACAAACCAATTAACTCAACTAACTATAACTATATTAGGTCTTTTTTTACTACTGTTCACCTTCTGTTATCATTTTAATATAAATTAGGTCTCTTAAAGTCCATTAATTCATTGTAAATATTAAGTTAATACCTCAAGTCAGTCAGTTACAATATAGGACCAGGCACATATGTACATCGGTCCATGTTGCCACACTTTACTCATTAGCACAAAAAGATAAACATCGGATTCATAGAACTAGTTAATTTAATAGTAGTAATATAAGAATTAGTTCGTAGAAAGAAAGATATAAAGCGATTTTAATCTCTTAGTTTAAGGGAAGACAGAGAGTGTATACACCTACGCCAATGTGATCAATTCTGAGTCATGTCACGCACACATTGTCTCCAACCATTGATTACGATAGTCACATGGACCCTAACCAAGTAGTCTGCATTTACCAACATGGTTACGACTAAAAGTTAGTGACTTTATGAACTGATGATTGGCCACTCTTAACATTCTTCCTATCCTCCCCAACACTAGTCTTATATTACACATCATGATAATCAGTGTTCAAGCATACATAATCCCTTGATCTAATCATCTTAGTCGATGATATACTTAAAGTAGTATTATAAATAACCTGAAAGAAAACACAAAATGAATACATACCTCTATCTGTATATATTGTTCATTGAATTGTAGAGTCGTTTTCTTATTAGAATATTCTTTATATTTAGAATTATTATTACATGAAAATAACCATGATGAATTGTCGAATCGAAATTTCCTTAAAAAATCTTTACGATACTGTGAATTCATTTTAGTTGTTAATGTATTATCACAATTAATCATATTTAATTGATGAAGTAGATGAAGAGGTGGAGATGAAGGATGTAGACGAGGCGTATGATCATTTGTTGATAATCCACATATTGAATTAGTAATTGATGAAGTTGTCAATGAAATGGATCCTGATGAAGATCTTATTGATGAAGAAGATGATAATGATGATAATGATAAAGATTTTCTACATAAACATAATTGTTTTCGTTGAATATATCCTAATTCATTGAATGTATGATGTTGTTGTTGCTGTTGTTGCTGTTGTTGTTGTTGTTGTTGTTCATTATAATGAATAGTTAATTGTTTCCAATTAATTTCTTTTGAATCTTTAAGTTGTTCTATATGACAACAATTTGAATGATTGTTCACATGAATCATTTACCTTAATACATTTGAATTAGAATAGTTAATCTGTTAGTTCACGAATAGATGATATGTAACTAAGTAAAGAAGTAAGGAAGTAAGTAGATAAGTAGGTATGTAGGTAAGTATAGATAGTTCTATGCTGAAAGAACTCTTTTACAAAATGTAATTAATATATACCTATATGATGATCATGTTTAATAATGATTTTGTTACTAAGGGATACACACACCTACTTACATACTTACATAATTACATCTATGTATGTATGTATGTATGTGTGTGTGTATGTGTGTATGTGTGTGTATGTATATGGGTATATTTGTTTATCAGGTTTTATAGATAGGTCGATGGTTATTGATTGATTCAAAGTGAGAAAATAATGATGATCATGATTATAATGTAAGTGAATCCATTGTCGAATAGACAGACCATATTAAATAGATAGTAAGACATATTCATAAATGATACCCTAACAACAATATACTAATAGGGTATGTTTTATGTTTTTTATAAAGAATAAGGATAAATGAATAAATTTAAACAAACTTATAACATTGTCATTAATAATAATAATAATTTAAAGAAGAAATAATGTCAATCACTAAGTGTATTTGAAATTCAAAGAGTTTAACACCACCTAGAACCACCTTCTCCCCCTCCCCTTTCCTTGTAGTGACAACCAGTTTGAAGATCGGTTAAAGAAGGAGGACATTGATATGAGGTTAGTTATTCTATCTCGTAGAAAATTAACTCGTTAAAAGAGAAAATGCTAATCAGAGGAGAAAAAAAACAAAACAAAACAATTTAAGATGGAGAGTTTGATGAATGAAAACTAGAAATTATTGTATTAACGATTGGAATGCCCCCAAATGCCATGGTACGGCCGAGAGTGGGGAGAGTCCGCTCTCCCTCTCCAAATGCTCTCATATGGCCACGCGTATACAGCCCCTGCCAGGGAAGTCCTACTCACTACATTCTCGCAACACGGGTGTTGTTTACGAAAATGAGAGGACGAAAAGCGAATGTCCGGCGGTTTAACCGGATCCCAAACCAATGGTGCACATGGGCTAGCTCCAGTATCCTGAAGGAACAAATGGCGTATGAACCAATAGTTGGTCACCGGCTACCATGGGACTGCATCTCCTCACGATGCTCCACTGCCTTGTGGATCAGACGTTCAGGTCGAAGGCTCGGGGTGTGGCCCTCTAAGAAAACCACCTGCTTCGGTTTGGGCACCCGAGCAGTATCACAGCCCTCACACAAATCAATTGAGATTCGTGTGGCGCATATGTATTTGGTGCCTCCTTGTACCAATACCTATGTGTTATAATAATAATAATAATAAACGATTGGAAATATAAATAATTGAATACTAATTCATTCATTTGAAGGTTAACTACTCTCTTCGATGTAATCCTTGAAGAAAACAATAATGAGCACATATCTACTATATTCTGGTTTATATTGATTATCTTTATTGATTTTTTATTGATTTGAACACATAAATATTCGTATAAAGGAGTACGGGATAAATATATATGTGTGGGCTGTGATATTGTCTAGGGGATCAAACCAAAGCAGATGATTGTTTTAGGAGGCCTTTGATTTGAAGGTTTAATTCATATAACAGAAGAGCAACGTTAAGAGATGCAGTTTCATGGTAGTGGATGACCAATAATTGGTTCATACATCAATTGTTCCCTCAGGATACTGAAGCTCATGTACAGCATTGATTTGGAATCCAAGTGGATTATGCATGTCCACTAACCTGGTTAATATGCTAGACATTCACTTTTAATTCTATCAACTTTGTAAACAACACCCCTGCCACGAATAAGACTTCTCTGGTAGTGGTTGTATGAACATGGTCATGTGAGAGCATTTGGAGTGGGAGATTGGACTTTCACCACCCTTGACCATACCAGGGTATTATCTAGCCATAATCCGTCAATGATGTAAAATACCAAGTTCAAAAATTTTCCTAAACTTTATAATAAATTTAAGTTTCTTGCAAATATTGATCATTAAACTCGGATAGAAATAATCCAATGAAATTCATTTGATATTGTTTTTATTTGAATCTTCCCATTGATCTTTAGGACTGAAATTGTTCAGTCTCTTATTGCCATATGTGCATACTGTGCGTATGCCTCGATATTGCCTTAATTAACAAGCATTATAAGCAAAGATGGATAGTGGCTAGCAGTGGAATCCAGTTTGACGCGTGTTTCGTCCTATTTGGGACTCGTCAGCTGGATGTACCTGCATCTCAGAGTTGATGTTCACTCCGGGACTCGAACCCAGTACCATCCGCTTCAAACGCCAACGCGTTATCCACTTAGCTACTGAGTCCTCATAGCCACTTGCTTGTGTAATGGGGTGAAGTTTAATTCACTTGATATTGTTTTATTTGAATCTTCCCATTGAGTGAACATCAACTCTGAGATGCAGGTACATCCAGCTGACGAGTCCCAAATAGGACGAAACGCGCGTCAAACTGGATTCCACTGCTAGCCACTATCCATCTTTGCTTATAATCCAATGAAAGTTTTCTAACTAAATAACAAAAAAGAAAAAAAAGAAAGAAAATTAGTCACCGGAAGTGAACTGAATTTTCAGAAATGTTTCATTACATAATATGATAATAAATGAATGTCAGAAGGGATTTTGTAAAGATTATAGTCATTTGAGTTGTTGAGATTATGAGTCCATTGAAGGTAGATCACCATAGGAAACCTGGAAGTATTGAACGACCATTTCGTCCTATTGTGAGACTCCTCAACAGATCAAAAGTAAAGCATATCTTTTGTGTTAACATTACATTCTGTCGTATACTATATTGAGAAGTGAATACTATCATACTAATATGTATGGTTCCTTCAAATTGAACTAACATAATATTACGGATTAGTTTATTTAAAAATATTTTATGGAAAAATTTAAAATCTTTCTAATTGAATATAGTTTTCTCTGGATGTATACATTCATAGTTTTCCCCAGGAAACAAAGTACTTAACAACTGTTGCTATGGTAACTAGAAATGTAATATTTAGTGAAAAGTCAAAGGTGAAGTATCTATCCTGTGATGACGCACCACCGGTAAACTCGAGGAAGCTGTAAGAGGTTCAGAAGGAGCCAAAGATATTCCATCCAATATTCTAGAATCTCTACGTGTAGCTTCCCGATTGGACAATGCTATTAATCCCCTGTATACGGATTGGAGCACTGTAATCATGATTTCATCCTTACTAAAAACTATAAATACTTGATAATTTTGTACTATAATTGACACTGTTTCGAATAATATTCTTTTCATTAGTCTTCTGTTTTCTCCTTGCGACTTCGAACGGTTTTGGCGTTCTAGTGTTCAGTTATACGCGGTATATCAAGTAAACAACCTTCTAGATACAACATATCCTAATTAAAACTCAATAGCTAAGTGGATAACGTGATGACGTTTGAAGTGAACGGTACTGGGTTCAATTCTTAGAGTAAACATCAACTCTGGAATGCAAGTAAGTCTATGTGAAGAGTTCCGAATAGGCAAAAACGTGCATTGAATTGGATTTCACTGCTAGTCACCATCTATTACAGTTAATGAAAATAAGTAACATTTTTACTTTCAGAATAAGACAAATGAAGTTGATGATTGTAGATTATGGTATTCAGAAGGTGTTAAGTTTATCTAGTTTAAATCTCTCTAAACAACATCATTATCAAATGTATGATAAATTGACAATGATTGCGTTGGTAAGGCCCTAATTTCTGACGAACAATATTAGAAAGGATTTCTAAAGAAGACTGTAACAACTATTCAATATACTCAATATTCCCTGGTTTATATAAATTGATTAAAGAATATGAGTTGATGATCAGAACCATTTTCACATTTTGTATAGGGTGATATGGTATGTCCATGCATTGCCTAGTTATTGAATTATTGATGGTAAACTTCTTATCTGTATTCAGTGAAACAATAAGTAAATATCAGAAGGGATTTTGTGGAGATTTCACTGGTTGAAATCATGAGTCAATTGAAGCTAGACCACTATGGAAAATCTAGAAGCACCTGAAAAGTGGTGACCAGTGGAGTTCAACAAGGTCTGTTAGCATGTAGTAACTCACTGAAAACAATGGTGGACGGTGGCGCAATTTCATGGATTGGTTGAAGTTGGACATTCACACTGTTTGATGCCAGCTCAGTGGTCTAGTGGTTAAGCGTTCGTGCACGAGAATAGTATGTCCTGGGTTCGAATGTCGCGGTATCGGGGCGGTATCGTGGATACTGTTGGGGTATTCAGAAAATACCCCAGAAAACTGTCACAGAGGAGTCCCATACTGGGACGAAACGGTCGTCCAGTGTTCCCAGGTTTTTCATGATGGTCTTATGATTTCAACCAGTGAAATAAGTAAATAATAAATACATCAATTAGTTACCATTTAATGAATAATGTTGTTCTTCAATGGTCTATAAGACTAACCAAATTCAACTAAACAAGTTACAATGCGGTTACCACTCTAAGTGATTTGATATCCAGCTCACTGTGTTTTCAGATCAGGTGTTTGAAAATAGTCATGTAGGAACCCTTTATAATATTGGCTTCATACTTATTATTATTCAGCAATAAGGCATAGTTCAATCTTAAAGATATTAATATTTAAACTACTTAAGCTTATAAGGCTTTGATTTATCTCTCGTAAGATAGAAAATAGCTCATTAGTTCAAGTTTCATGAAGTATAACAATTCCCCAAGATTAAAAGTTCACTTTGCTGATGAAATAAGATGACAAAGTTTGATCGTCTCTTTCATTCTCCCATACTGCTAATACCCTACTCATTAATGCGAAATTCTCATTGTCCCAGTGACATGAAACAGACACCACAATTTGAATTTGAATCATAAAGCACACTTTTGAATCCCAACACATACAAATCTGAGAACTATACAGTAAATAGCTCATCTGTAAAATGTCAATCAATCGTCTCAGACTTCATTTGTTTCTTCATCTCC